CCATACAAATACATCCAGCTTGGTTTCAAAAGATTCAACTGCAGATGAGAATAGAGGTTCCAACATTAACCCACTTTTTTCTCTGTGACTATTCTTTCTAGTCGGTATCATCTAAAGGTTTTCAGTCATGGTGGTGGACTCAAGTCATCTGATGGTGGGATGAATCAAAGCTTCCATTTTGGGGAATACTACATAAAACTCGTCTGAAAACAGGTAACATCTTTGCTTCCTACTAACTGAAGTGAGGTATTTTTAAATCAGCCACATGCAGATCAAGAAACCCTGTAATCCAAGACACTTTTTAATCAAAACCTCAAAAAGCAGGAACTTCTTAAGACAGACCAGTGGTTCAAGCAGAATGCCTGCCATGTTGCTACCAGAGACCTGGAGATGAGCAGGAAGTCTTTAAAGTACAATTAAAAAACAACTCACAAACCTCAAAGCAACTATTTTAAAAGAAATAGTTAGAAGATCTAGTAAAGTGCCTGTCATGTGCTGGGAAGCTCTCTGGGCCCTACGTGCACCTGCTGGGAGTGTGCCTGGAGGAATAGACATGGGTTTGATCACTCACAGGAAAGGTACAGATGTGGTGCCCACGATTGTTTTCACACAGTTCCGTTACCAAAGGCAAGCCCTTCTCACCCAACCATTAAAAACTGCCCAGGATTCAACATCCACTCCTACGATGGACTGGCACTTCCTTTTATGCAATGCTTGGGGGAAATCACCTAGTTTTGATGTGGTTTGAGTTTGATCCTGTGAAGCCATCAGAATCTTCCCGTCAGAGATAAATGAGGAGATTCGAGCTCCTATTGGTGGGCACTATTAACAGAAGTCCCCCTGCTGTGTTTTCCAACCTTCCTTCTATTTTCATCCACCTCCCCATGTGTGAGTACCTTTGACCTACTCTGAGCTCGGACCCCCGATCTGTCAGAGCAACTCTGTCAGTCTTTCTTTAAAAATGGAGGGCCAATAAAATGAACTGAACCTAGAAGCAGCAGCTCAGTAGGGGAAATGAAAACATCAGAATTTATCTAATCACAGCCACAACCATCCAGAGCTCTGCCTTATCTGCTGGGTAATAAAAATGGGACCTTCCTAAACTTGAAGGGCATCAAATAAAGAAAGTTGTTGCTTGCCTCTGACTCTTGGGGAGGGGGGGCTATGCATTTAAGCCAGTGTCTACTAACTACAAAACACTGTCATGGATTTAAACACCTAAGTTCTAGGAAAGTTGGGGAGGTGCGCAGAGGTAAGGTCGTTTTGACATAAAGCAAAAAATAGATCACAAACGTCTTTGAGATAGGGGTTGTTAAGCGGGCAGTAGAAGAAAGGAATGAGGGGGTAAGATTATCTCCTTTGAAGTCAAGGTAATTTTTCCAAAAGAGTAGGGCTTTCTCTGAGTTTAAGAAGAACACTTTAAAATACCTTGGACAGCTCAAAAATGCTGTTGAGGGAATTGAAAACCAAGTGAGCCAAGACCAAGCAGAGCAGTGCCTTAAAAATCCTGGCAAAACAGCAAGATGAAGAGTTGGCTTCGCATAGTTCCTAACACAGGAGTAAAGCACCAGAGGCATCTCCTGCCAAAGGCACTGAAATCCTAAGGCGTCAGCGGGCCAGCTGAAGGGGTGGGGAGCGGGGCGGGGACGGTAGGGGTATTTCCCTCAGATACTTCTCGTGCAAAGTTTCGTGGGGCAACCACCCCGCTGCTCAGTCCACCTTTTCCCCCTCCACCTCCGGAACCCCGGGGCTGCACTCTTAAGCTCGTGCCCCCAAGGACCCTCTGTGCAGCCCGTGATTTTTCCTGGAGCCTGGCAAGTTCTGGGACTGGAAGCCAGGCTCGCAAGGCCGCCGGGGGTCGGGGGGAGGCGTGGCCGGATCTGGAGGGCATAATGGGGGCTGGATTCTTAAAGCTCTCCCAAATCCTTCAAGAGTAAGGAGGAATGCATCTTCCTAAGAATATTTCTCAGGGTTTAGCCTGCCCCCCATCCGATGGTGAACAGTACTCACTTGCTGTGGAGCGGACCACCTCCTAATCGTTCTCCTGGATTTCACCCTAAGGATCTTCGGGGGTCGGGGACACCACGGGGTTCCCACCTCCTCAGTCGGCTGTGGCCAGCGCTTCGGTGGTCCCTGTAGTCCCACCCCCGGCCCCCTTGCCCCCGGCTACTCCATTTCACGGAGGAAGGAGCACAGAGGGACTTGGCTCCATCAGGGGACTCGCGAGCCTGCTGATGAGTTTGAAGCCCGGGAGCCCCAGACGCGATTAAATATCATTGTGAGGGGGTGGGGCGGGGGGTTGGGAGGCCGAGCGGCTGCATCGTACCCCGCGGCCCGTCCAGCGGCGGGACACCGCCACAGCCCCATAGTTGTGTCGCCGTCAGCGGGGGGAGCCGCAACTTCGGCCCGGACTCTGACCCCCGCCCGACTTCTCACCCGGCGACGCCCTCCCCTCCAGGACCTGCAGGCCGGCCCTCGCGGGCTCCCGCACGCGCCCGCCCGAGCGGGGCTAAGGATGGAGTTCCCTCGACCGAAGGCGACGCTCGCAGCGGCCGCTCACCACCGCTCACAACCACGGCGGCCACGACGCACCAGCGGCTCGGAGCGCAAAC